GCCGAGTGGGCCGCCTTCCAGGCCCGCAAGAAGGAGGCGGCCGTCTCCATCCTGGGCCGGCGGCTGGGCGGCAGGGAGGCGGCGGCGGCGGCCCGCATCCAGGCCGAGGAAGGGGACAAAGAACGGCAGGTGCGCGAGGTGAGGCTCCGGCCCCCTTCGAGCTGCGGTCTGGCCAAAAAGGTCTCCGGAGAGGCCGGCGTTGTCCTCTCCTTCAGATGGGGTACCCGCTCCCACTCCCCCCAACACCTGCTACCCGCTATTGAGCAACAGAAGATGTCCCTTGCTTTTCTCCCCTTGGAGCTTTGCTCTTGTCATGACGTACTTTAAACTTCTTCCCTGGCGAGGCAAGGATTAAAGAAATAGAGCAATTCTTCTTTTATTTCTACTCCTCTAGGCCCGTGTGGAAAACATCAAGCTGAAGCATGAAATCCAGAACCTTGAAACCATCTTGAAAGCTCAGGGAGAACTGGTAGAGGGTCAACGTTTTCTGGACTTTGAGCACATGAAGAAAGAGAATCAGAAACACGGCAAAAAGATTGATGACCTCAGTGATGAAATCCTGAAGCTCAAGAAGAAGGTATCGAACACAGTGCATGTTCTCAGCCAGTTCAGGGAAAAGCTACAGTTTGTGGAAGCTGAAAATCAAGGCAGAAAGGCTGAACTGATGGACATCGAGACCGTCTTGTCACAGAAGAGAGACGTTCTGACCAAAACAAAACAGGCCAGAGACAGACTGCGGAGAAGCAATTTGAAACTGCAGCAGAAATGCGGGTTGCTTGGAAATGAGGCACTGCTTCGGGACTTTGAGGAAAAGGTGGATGCTGCAGAGCTGCTAAGTCAGCGATTGGAAACACTGAAACATCACTATGCTGCTCTGATCCTTACTTGTAGGGGAATTCAGAAGAAAATCAAGGAAGCCAACTCCTCTTTCCTTGCTGAGGATGACTGAAGAAAAGGAAGCATGGAAATGAAATAAACAAAGGAATTTTCCATAATTCTGATTTTTAACATGTGCTTTTTTCAGCAAATCTTGGGGAATACGTTACACCACACTGCTGAAAAAGCCTTTTCTAAGTGACGTGTCAGTATTACACATTCAATGAAGAGATTACAGTACTTACTCATTTTGAATGAAACCATATACAAGTGCCCATCTTAAACCAACAAAAAAAGTGTAGACTTTTGACTGAGGCTATAATTATCAAACACATATAAATTATACATGTCTCTTTTCCAAGTTAAGTAAAGGTGGCCTGTCCACCTATGTCAAGCCCGGTAATAAGATTTCCAAGTTGGTAAAATGTTGGCAATTCCAATTAAACTTTTGTCCAAATTTAGAGTAAGTGATGTGACATGACCATGAGTTCCTTAATACTCTCCCAACTTTTCCAGTGCCAAGGTTGATCCTTCCAAGAAATTTACCCCATTGGGACTTCCCTATCTCTAAACATCATGAGTCAGCTATACCCCCAATGATGTAGCAGGCGGGGTAGGGTTACAGCAGAACATCAAATACTTAAGTTCTTATAACAGTTCTCGATTGACTCGCAAAAATACGCATAATATCAACAGAAGTAAATAATGCTTTCTTTGACATATAATATGCAATCTCTTCTTGCTGGGAACTTGAAATTCCCAATGCTTTTAACACTTTGTAATTGCCAGAATACCATTTTTCTCGTGCACCCACAGGGAATCCCTTAAGTTTGATACTTTTAGCATTCGTTAGATCTTGAATTTCGTCTTTAAGGTGGCAATATTTCTTTACTTCTGCCGCCGCATCCACCATTGATGTCAATTTACTTTCATACTGAATTGTCACATCAATAACTATCTCCTGATCTCCCTTTACAAATACCAGATCAGGCTTATATATTTCATTTTGTTCATCTTTTAATATGGGCTCCTGGAATACAATCCAGTCCTTCTTTTGGGCTTCATTTATCAATATTTTGCATAACTGATTATGCGTTTTAATTCTAGCACCTTGTACCGTGGGGCAATACCCAATGGTATAAGCACACATTTTTTTTTCCGCTTGACAGTGTCGACAGGATTTTATTTGCAACTCCTGTCTCCCCCTTGCCAGGAATTCCCTGGTGGGATACAGGTTACCTCTTAACTGAAGTGCGGTGAGGAGTTTTCTGTGAGGGATACCCCTTATAATGTTCAACCCAAATGCTGCTGATATTGTCCTTCTCAAAGTTGGTAATACCATGGCCCTGGGACTGCAACTTGGTCCAATTTATAAATTCCTGTTTTTGCCAGTCACGTGGTTCAGGAAAAATAATTTGGGGGGCTGACAGCTCCCATTCTGAAGCTGGTTCCTCATCGCTGAGTTCCTCAGACGTTACCCTAATCGCACTCAGGTCTCAAATGGATGGAATTTTATTCTTATCACCTCCAGCTGTTACCCATAATTTTTCAAATTCATTTTCAATCCCCTCTTGTTTTACTATTGATCTTATTAGTACATCCAAAGACTGTGCAATCCTAAGCAGTCTTCGAGCTCGTATACTGGGGATCAGACCCAAGAGTTTCGTGATGCCTAAACCTCCACCATGCATACTGGAATAGAGAATGGCATCACAGGTACCTGGAGGTAGATGTAACCACTCCTTGACTGTAGTTCAAATCGTCAGGTCAAGTGTTTCTAGGTACGTTGCTTTTACATCTGCTTGGTCTGCTAAATAGATCCATTGCAGGCTAGTATATCCCTTCAAGATGTCAACCTTCTGAAATGGTTTCAGTGGCGTATCACCAATCTGTTGTAGCCAGTCTTTGATCTTCACCGGTAGTTCAGGTTTAGATATTCCGATCCACAGGTCTATTCTTAGTACCAGGTACTTTTCCAAACTACCAGGTTCAATCACATTAATTGGGTACCATTAATTTGCCATGGAGGACAATCGTTGATCGTATACCAGTCCTTAATAGGTTGTATATAAAAGCCACAGCATTCCTCCCCCGGTGTCCTGAGGCCTGTTAGATTACAAAAGGCCTCTAGGATCTTGATATTCCTTTGCATTCCTTCCCATGATCCACTCATCAAAGCAAAAAAAGCGCTGACAAAAAAAGTGTAGACTTTTGACTGAGGCTAACAGAAAACCTTGACATTCAGTCCTTTAGGGCCATGGCAATAGTGTTTAAGCAGAGCACTCACCATACCCTAACTCAAATCCTGATTCTGCCACCCTCTGTATGGATTTCATAATTCAGTATCAACTTCATCTTTACAATAAATACACCTGCCTTCTGGGCACATCGCAAGGGGTAGCTTTTATAGATGTGGCTAAGAATGGGAGAGAAGCTTATTGTCAATACCTGACATGGCTTGCATACTGCCACTATGCTACAGAAGCACTAAATCATACACCCATTCTGTAAATATACTTGACTGCCGAGTTTGCCTTGGAGGTGCACAAGAAGAGAGGTTTATTACTTTAAGAACTGCTTTCATAGTATAAATATATACATAAATCTTCTAACTCAAAACTAGAGGTTTGGATTTTTTTGGTCTTTCAGCTTTTACAATTTTAGGGGGTACTCAGCCTTGTCCTCCTCATTCACGGTGTGTGCAGAAGTAGAGAGTAAGCCCATCCCTGTTTCAGGCTCCTCTGCACTGCTCAGCTATACCTGAATTCCAGAAAAGATGACTGAAGGAAAAGGGGAAGGAGTGACAAACATTTACACATTTATGACTGTACAGCTCACAGAGCTTTAAGTTACAGGAAGCAGCTTCCCCTTTCAAAATAATATATTCTTTAAACTTCAATTCCCCCATGGCAAGCAGTGACTATGAGACTTACCTATATCCTGCAGTTCTTGCTGCTGCTATTGTAACATTATTTTTGATTTAAGGCATGGGATGGATGTCAAGAATATAGAAACATCTTGGGCCAGTAAAATGTTGGAGCTCTGACATACTACCTTCTCATTACTGAAGGAACTGCAACTTTGGTAGGCTCCCTATAGGCCATCACTGGCTGATGTGCCCAATTATTGAATCAGTCCTTCCTAGTTAATTGTTAATTTTTATGCATGATACCACTACTTTGCTTAGACAGACCAGCAATCTTTAGTCCCATTTTTGGTAGTCAGAGTTGGGTATTAAAGGCCCAGATTTAAGTGTTCAACAGCTGTGAATTTTGCAGGAAAGAAGGCACATCCCAGTGGGAAAGAGTAGGAATGGAGTCTCTTGGTTTTCCACTATGGGTTGGAATTACACCCCATGGGACCAGTATTGCTGAGCTGTATTTGAGCTGCTGGTTTTAGTTCCAAGGTAAGTTGCATACGCATTTAAGCAGAGTACACAAGTCACTGAATGCACTTATATGGGGATAAAAAGTAGATAAACTTACATAAAGTCATTTCTAGGAATGGCTTACCCCTCTTTTAAATAATCTCTGAACTAGATTTTCTGAATTGCCTGGACATTTAAAAGACAAAACATAATTAAAGTGGTTATTACGCTACTGAAGGTTTAAATCTTGTTCTTTTGTCATAGTGAAATGACAGAAGAGATCAGTAATTTCTTGCTCTTACTGCAATCATGCAGTAGCAATTTGCTTATATTCTTCTAAGGTCCTTACGGTTCTGCAGAACTGTTGCATAAACACAGGGGAACAGTGCAGGCTTTTGTTCTGCAAACAACTGAAGTGCCCTGTATCTTCAGTAGCTCAAACACTCTTATTCGTGAAGAGACATTACACAACTAATACTCAAAAGCTTTCCACAAAGTACCAGTAGATCCACCCCTGTCTGTTGTTGCTGGACAGTAAAAGGAGACAAGTGTAACCGCCAACCACTTATCTTAAAAAAACAAAACAAAACAAAAACACCTCCACCCCCCAAAAACTCCAAATCGGTACCTTTCATCTTAAGCCTTGTTACCAAAAGTGAGCTCTTCTCCTGCTGAAAGAGTGGCTGTCGCACAAGTTGAGCAGCCTCCTGGTGTTCCACAAAAACTGTTTTCATAAATAATTAAGGATGATCAGCAGTCATCTCCCTAAGAGAAGTTACTTTTACCTGTTTTGACTTCTTATAGATTCCTGCCAGAAAAATTCTTACGCTTCTTGCTGCTTTTGGCTTAAGACGTATAAACCTTCCTTTAACTTCTTAAACACCATTAAGCAACAAATGTAGACAGTTAAAGGGAAAAGCAGAAGAATCTTAAATGCTTTTCACTGCTGCATGTTTGACACCTGGAGAAGGCAAGAATTTAGGGTACAAACGAGGTTGATAGTATATTCCCTGAACCAAATTATTTCTACTGAAACAAATACTACTCAGACATTTGCTTAAACTTCACACACTGTCTCCAGGACTTTTTTCTTAGTGCTGTTATTGAGACAACCCACTGCTACCGTGGCCTTCCAAAGCACCCTGAGGATGAAGATCAAAGATTCCTCCATTTTCCTCCTATAAATATAGGAAGATGTTCCGTCAGGAAGCAGTAAAGACAAATTTCTTTTTATTTCCTAATCTCATGTGCTGGCATGCAAGAAAGTATTTTACTTCTCTTAAAACAGACTGGCATTAGTACTGGGAAAACAGGTGAGGAAAAGTAAATCTAGTTTTGAACAGTTATGCAACTTCTGTAATGTATACAATATAAAGCTTTATCGATATCAAATTGGTATAGGGCCAGCAAATCAAACAGTAAGATACTTTAGTTCAAGGAAGTGAGACGTTTACTGGAGAAACTAGAATCATGGCAGCCAAGTCTTTGACTGTGTTCCCCACATAGTCTTGTTGCACAGGTACTGCTTTCTCTCCCCTGCTTTTATTTGGTGCTTTAACCTCTTTTCTGTTAAGTAAGCAACAGGAAGCTTCTCCACTTCAATCTCTGAAGTTATGCCTATGTAAGAATTAAAACAATACTGCCTTAAGTTGAGCACAAACATGCCTTGTGATTATGAAACTTGCAATAAACCAAGATTTCTTCTTTTAAAACAAAAAAAGGATGATTTACATCTATTTTTCATAATAATTTTTTCAGATCTCAGACCTAGTCCAGAGGAGGGCATATGAAATGGATTAAACCATGGGCACCATAAGTATCAAATCTCCTAAATGTCATATGTAATATAAGAGGTATTTTAACATGAGAATTTGGAAAGCATCACCAAAAAATCCTCCAGCTGCAATACTTAAATGTCCCAAAGTCCTGATTTTGGACAGACAAAAACCGCTAAAGAAGCCTGTGAAGAAACAGACAAGTAGTTGAATTTTTAATTTCTGAATTACACTGACAATAGGTGATTAAGATAACTTTACACGACTTTATTTAACAAAACCATATATTTACATTTGAAAAAAGTTCCAGTTCGATACACATATCTAAACAAAACAAACTTGCTAACTGCATAAAACCAATTTAAACATGATGTACAGGGGATGTATCTCTACATGTCACTCTAGTTTTTAAAACAGTCAAAAATAAGCTGTTACAAGGTACCTTTTTTCCCCAAATGAAATTCTTTACTAAATGAAAAAACGTTAATGACTGATTGCTGACTGAAGTTGCAAAACGGCTTTATTATAAAGTGCAGGTCATATAGAATTCCAAACCTGGTTGAAGTGTTCTGGTTTCTCTAATCTGCTGCATATAGAGTGGTAGTGGTAGACTTCTGATGTATTGCAGCATTTCTATTTTTCCTTAAACCCATGAAGAAAAGGAAGTTTGCTTGATGGGACACATTTGCTCAATGAAAGAAAATCTCATGCATGTTGTTACAGATACTCTCAAGCACCTGAACGATAAAATTGTCAAAATTTTTTATGTAATCCCTGAATTTATTACAGAAATCTTCCTTAATAGCTAATTAAGAGATTTGGTATGCTGCAAGAAACTTAAAAAGCTCAGTGGCAAGTAATTCTATGCCCTTACTACTTATCTCCGTTTTTATCAAAATTCACACATTACCTTCAAATCAAGTTACTGAGAAGTCGAAACAATTGCATCTTTAGGCAGGTGATTTTTTTTTCAAATGTATTTTGTTTGAAAACAAACTGTGCAAAGCTCCTTATTGCATTGCTTTTCTTCATTAAAGAACATACCTTATATACACAAAGAAATCATTTAGAAAATATATACATCTTCTAAGAACAGAAAGATCAAATCACAGAACAAAATAATTACATTTGCAAGTAACAAACAGTGCACAAGTGTTGTTGCAGCAGGCCTTTTTCCCACAACTATGCTCATTTTCTCTGTTACATTCAACATCTTATTGAGAAGAGAAGAACAGGATGTCCTGGCTGCAAAGATACGTAGTAGCTAAGAATGCATTTTTAACCAGACAAATGAGCCACACTTGTAGACTTGGTTTAAAAGGAAAGAGAAACCTAGTTGCAATGAAAACTTAAATCACAAAGCCAGTTACAGTATCACCTGAAAATTTATACTGAGGAAACAGTTGTCTCTGTTTAATAAACCATTTAAAAGCATAGTGCAAATGTTTCAGATGGTAGGCCTCTCATATCCTTCATGGAAAGGCGTATTTGTTGTAGTAATAGAAAAAGTAATATTAAAAAACACTTACTGACCTTCCAGCTTTCTATTGCACTTCAAACCAATGTAGCATACAAGTACCGGTCATTGAACGACCAAGGCTATACAACTTCTGGGAGAATTAACATGTGTTTGATATCAACATCTTGATGTCTATTTTCAGTAAGTGATGACCTAGAAGAAGTCTTATGGAGGAATTAAGATGGCCAACAGAAAAACACATCCATTACACCAGGTACACAAAGTGGACAGGAAAAGAGGCCAATGAGGTATCAGACTTGCAAGCTGCATTTGCATTACATGTCTTCCAAAGTGATTGAGTCCTCACTTACCAGGGAATCTTGCTCTCACTCTTTTTAATATTACAAACTATCCCTTGCAGAAACGATGTTTGTACTAAAGGACAGTATTTTGATTGTGTCCCACAGTCCTTTACATTCTATGTTAAGTTGAGCAGTGTGCAACTATTATTCTCTTTTTTTTATTCAGACAATGCCAAAATAATCAGCATAAGACAGACTGAAGAGCATTGGGAAACCGCTGACCATATAGCTAGAGGATTTAGTAATATAGCTAGAGGATTTAGTAATGCCTGTTTACAGTTAACACAAATATTGCTTCAGTTAGTTTCCCTTTTCAATGATCACCATTATTTATAAAATAGATTTTACACTATGCAATAAACATTCTTGTAAATCAGAGGCACTCACGATTTACAGTTCAACATTCATCTGAATGCAGAGGGGATCTAAGCTGTATAACAGAATTAGGCAACCACAGTTGCTGCCTCTGTAACTTGCTCCCATGTATTAGAAGCTGGATAAAATGCTAGGAAATGACAGCATGTACCTGTCCTGATAGTATTTGTCTGGCACATTCCCCAATAAACTTCTTTCACTTGCCACTACGTACATATCAGCTCCACATAATGCTTTCTCACTGTGCCAACAGCAGCTTCAGGAGATCCCACAGAACCTTTTCTTCTCAGCAGCAATGGTGGTTTATGTAACTTGTCCCCCACACCCTTCCTCCTCAGTTTTGCCAGTGAGCAGAGCTGGGTTTAAAGTAACTATAAAAATTGCTTTTAACCATTTCTCAATTCATCTGCTCAGCCCACAGTTTTATCAGCATGACTGGAGAGATGGCACAGGAGTAAGCAGCTGGTAGGCAAGAACACCCTGAAATGCCACTGCCCCAGAAAAGGGAGATGTGGAAACATATATTTAGTAGTAGGTGACCCCGGCTTTAAACAGAGGAAAGAGTACAATTGGGAAATGGTGCCAGCTTAATACTAGAAACCCCCCAGTGCGTTTGGAATCTAGTCTGATTAATGGAACTTCTCCCATATGCATCCAGATTGGAAACACAGATTTCCAAGGCATCTTGAAGAATAATTGGTTTTGCACTGCTAGCGTGACTTCTCTTCCAAGTTTACTTTCTACTTAACTTTTTCTTATTAAATAATGGAATGTAGTTCTATGTCTACATGATTTCTTTGGTAAATGGGACCCACAGCCTATAAAACAAGAAGCATTTCTAAAGAAATGGTCCTTACATCATTTAACTATAAATTCCAGCACCAGTTATTTAAAATCCAGATCCAGCTACTACTATAGGTATGGGAAATATATCCTGCCTAAGAATTAAACTGGGGAATAGCTTTCGAAGCAACTGACATTGCTGAATGCCCAGTCTTTTAAAACATCAAAGGAAAAAAAAACCGCCTTAAAAAACCCCCTTAATTTTACTTAGTTTCACTGCCCTCATCAGAAGTACAGAATGTGTAACGCTGTCCACAGCAAATGCTCATTCCACTAAAAGTTTAAGGCTAAGCCTAGGTTTAATTTATAAGGGGTTTATCCCCTGATTGCCTTCCTTCCTTTTTTTTTTCCTCATCTTCCTTCTCTTTTCCTCTCTCCCCTTTAAGGCTATGCTACTACTAAACAAAATTCTGAAATAACACTTTGATTTGCAGGCTCATACATGTCAAACAGTACTCAATACTTTTGCACTTTAGCTCTTTCCCCATGAGTCACTGGAGGCAACCATAATGTTAACGTTTGAGTGAAGGACTTCCTTTTTCCATTTCTCGGTTATCTTTCTGCAGAGCAGCCAGTATCTAGACATTTCAAGGAATGAGAGAGAAAAAAGTATTAGATTTAAAACGTGACTCAAAAAATCAAATCACTGTCTGAAGAGTTTCCCATTTAATTATGTTTGAGCAATACTATTTTAACTATTAAATGTAATCAAATTTAAAGAACCTCTCCACTGATGGAGACTTGTCCCATAAGTCCTTGTGGCGTGGTAGATACAAATGGATTTAACAAAGGTTTAAACTCAGCCTCCCCTCAACACACACTTTTGAAGCCTGGAGATGAGATTCTTACCCAGATTACACAGGTCTAGCACTATTAAAGGATGCTGTCTGATGGGAAGTTGTAATTTTTAATAAATGGAATGTCTAAAAACATAGCAAGTGAGTAGCCTGAGCAATATGACATTACCTAAGAGTTCAGGACAGAGTTACCTTAGCGCTTGTCTAGAGCACACCGCTATCTCCAGATCTGCTTACATCTTTTTCTGAAGCAAAAAGTCCGCATTTGCATCCATACCAAAAATTTATATTTCCTAATATCTGATGCACAATTTTGTTTTGTTAGCCCTCGTGTAGAAGGCATAGTAATAGCCAGTTTCTCATGCTGCTTAACATGCTCCCTGTCCCATAGTTAGTCTCTGCTGAAGAAGTCCAGCAGCATCCTCAAGAATCACCCTGGAAGTGAAGGTACTGTGGGACATTTAATCTCAAAGAATTGCAGTTACGAGAAAGGAACCTTCTTTCTCCCTCTGACTGACTTCAAACAAACCTCTGCACCATCAGAATTAACAGGAGGTGGGGCTAAATCACTCAGAGAGCAATCACACACCACCACCTATACTTCAATGCAGAAGCACCCATAGCTGTTGCAACAAAAGAGTTCAACGTGGGTCTGAACAGAGCCACAGCTGGCTGGCTGTTCAGCAATTTCTAGAACTGGAGAGAGATTTCAGCGAGGTCCTCTTCATAGAGATTCAGGGTAAATCAACAGCTACTCAGAGAGTTTTAAGTGCCATAGTAACAATGTCCTTGGTGGAAGAAAGTTACCCTTTTTAAAGAATACAAGAATCACACCAAAATACTGACCCAAAAAAGCAGAAAGCATAGACCTTAAGCCAATTAACAAAGCTCAAATTCTTTAGTTATTTGGAAAACTTTACAGAGCTAAGATTTGAAGCACAGAGATTACAGAAATGCTAAGCCCACAGTCCAGTCTGTTCTACCATCTCTATTCCTCTGCTGTTGATGACAAAGTGGTAGGTGTAACAACATCCACTTACATTTCAGGCTAAGGCTGTATTGGCACAAGGCCCTGCAGTTCATTGTAGGTTATTTCAGAAGAAAAGTAGAGCTTACAGTTTCCTATGAGTCCTTGTTACTAGAAGTGCTGTGTCCATGATTTACCAGGACTCCTTTCTGTCTTTAGTTTCCTCATCACATTGTCAGTGTCCAAGGGAAAATGGAGTGAGATGGAAAACACACACCAGCCCCATCCGATGAGGGAGGCAGGACTGTGGAAACCAGCTTCATAAGCCCCCCCTTTAGCATTTTAGATGAAGTCCTACATACATCACCTCTAGACAGCATCAGGTCAGAATGTGACCCACAGGATAGCAGGACCATAATTAACCATGGTACAGCAAGGTGAAAGGTTCAGTAAGTGGGTGTTTTTCTGAGTGCCAAGTACACCTACTGCTGAGATGTGCAGCTGAATTTGACTCCTGAATTCTACAGTCAAACATACTCCTACGAAGAAGTAGTACCTCAAGCTCTACTGCTTGCTTATGCAGCACAGTTACTGTAAGCAAACGAGATGATGCCAGAGATGAGAATGCAAAGCCCACTTTTCTAAGCTCAAGAGCATTCTGCATTTTCTGGGAACTACTGTCCCTGGTCAGTCAGTCCACCTAAGAGTTTATCTTGAAAGCGGTGCATCCATCACTCTTGACATTCATTTTGCTAATTTGAAAAGGTATTTCCCTACAGAAAATACATGGATACTACAGCAAAGCATCTGACTTGTACAGCAATAGTCACAGTCAGAAAACTATTTAGCAAGGAAGCATCCCAACTGCAGACAGACTTCTCAAGCGTACTATGTGGGACTCATACCCAGCACTGTTATGAGTCCATCTGTGCAACCAAGTCACATACTACCAAAAGCCTGTCTGTTCTAAAAAAGTAAAGTTCAGGTTTCAGAGTTCAAACTCTTCCTGGTGAACTTTAAAGACCAAAGAGAGGTAAGAAGCCATCACAGGCAGCATCTTAGTAATAGAAAACATAATCCCATACCCTCTTTGTCTTGTTGACGTTTCTAGGTCAGTTCCAATAGTGGTACCTCAGCAGCTGAGCAGTCCCAGTAAGTGCATGACATGAGCAAACTCGTAGCCCCTACCCCCTTCTGGCTTGGAAAAGGATGGCAGGCTAGGGAGTGAACAGGCTTTCCTGATGGAAACTTACTCAGCAATGGAACTACCTGGTGAAGAAAGCCAGTTGGCACAGAAGTCAGGATAGGTAAGAGGTCAGCCAACACCAACCCTACAGCATGCTAACTCTGTCTGAGACCTATTCGCACCACGGTTCAGCAACAATTTTTCTCCAGTTTGCCACAACAAGCAAAAACAATCTGGCAAATTCCAGTGCAGTCAGAATGAAGCTGATGAGGAGACTGAGGAAGATTGCTTCGGCTAGGTTACTTAGAAGTCCTCCTCTTGTTGTGATAATCACCACTAAACCTTCACATGTGTCACAGACTGAAAACCACTGGCTAAGAAAGCCTGTTACTTGGGGTATTTGGCAGAATAGGACACCTACCTCTCCTTCTCTGCAAGGGAAGCAGCAGTAGGCTGAGAATTTATTTGGTATGCGATCCTCCTCCACACATGACGTGTTTAAAGAAAGTGAGCCATACGAATGAGGAGCAAGACTGGGAGTTTACTTGTAGAGACACTACTGGCTGAAAAATGTTCTTGAGGATAGAAACAAAGCTGGATCTGTACTAGCAACTTATGGCCAAGACCAGAAGGGAAATGCAAACTAAGTTGTGAGGAAAGCTGTGTCAGGGAGGAAATTCTGGCAGTGTGCTGCTCTTAGCTGGGCAGCGCAGGTTGTATTCCCCCTCACACAGGAGATAAGGCTCAGAAGGCCACAATCTATTCCTACTGTGAAGGTTAGAAATTCTCATCTCAAATAGCAAGCAGGCAGTCCCCAGCATCTACAGGAAGACTATTACTCCAGGAAAGAACCATAACTCCCATTTGCAGCTGAATTGCCGTAACCACTACGTTTAACATCACCTTTCAGTTTCACTGCAAAAAAGAATTTGGATAAAATGGGCAGAGCTCTATTACAGCATGACTCGTTAAGCATGATGTATTACCACTCTGAAGAAAGAAAAAAAGCAGGGGTGGGGGAAGTTTCTACTCCAAACACTGTGAAGTACATTTGACCTAACTCTCCAGCATGAATGGCTGTTATAGCCACTTAACGATTTCCATATTCAGTTGACACACTTCCACCTTTTTTCTTTAAACTGGAATTTAGTTGAAATTACAGTGATGAGACACAATTTCTGAAATAAAGGCTTCAGTGCTAAATTCCAATAAAGAAGTCAGAGATGCAATCACTTCTGTACAGCCCAGAATTAGGCAAAATAGATCCTCAAGAATATTAAGATGATGACTGTATGATAATGTGTCCTGACAAATTGTCATCTTCTCCCAAAGAGTGAATTTCTGCTTTTAAAAATCAAGTTGTAATGTTGCCAGCAGCCTTTGTAATGAATACACTTAAGAAGTCCTATGATACTTTACTTCATCAACTCCACTCAACATTTCAATTTTGAATGTTGACTAAGCTCTCCCTTTCCAGAGGAGAGTAAGCTCAGGAATCTACTCACCAGAATGTATACTAAAAGAACAGAGTGAGCTACATAGTCCTACCTACCTGTAAAATCAAACACTAGCTCTGCTAAAACATTCTTCCAGGTGTTGCCAAACTCTTATTTTCATGAATAAAGTACAATCATCAGTTATCAAAGATTAACATCCTCTTTACCTGAGCCCACTTTTTGTTTCTACTTTGCATCTGAATGGCAGCAATAGATGTGAAGAATTCTTCCGAAGGCAAGTCCTCTGGTAGCTTTGTTAAAAACTGGGCTATATGAATGAAGTCCATTTTGGTCAAAATATCTTCAAAAAGTTTTAATATTCCCAGGGCTGTACGGAATAAGAACTCTTCTCCGTCACGGCAGAACACATCCCAGACACGACACGCCAAGTCTAGCGGCAAAGATTTGCTGTACAATGTGAATATCCTGAAAAACAGAGTAAAATTTTCAGAGTTACTGGACAAGAAAAATGTCTTAGATACTCACAAAAGTACACAGACTGATCATCGCTAAGTTTGAGGCTTCTCAGATATTTATAACTGAATATTCCTTTTTCTATTTCAAAAGTACTTCTATTAGTTGCAGCATACCAATACATGAAACAATATAAAATTGTACAACCATTAAGGCATCTGGCTATCAATCCACATCTCCAGGTTCAATTTCCTTCGATCACACCGGAAGAAACAATATACATGGTTTCATGATGGACATGCACTGGCCACAAGTATAATCAAAGGCATATTTAATCATCATTTCAGAGTTGAGGACAGATGCAGTTTTAGCTGTGAGAACACAAAAAGCTGAACCTTAAGACATACCACAAAGGAAATTTTGTGGATCAGATGAAGGAGATGTATAAAATGAAATCTGCGTTCCAGGCCTGATTGACTGGCAAAGCAATAATATCATGAGTTTTGGAGGAAAGATCCATTTAAACTCTAATAAGTTGAGAGAAACAGGCAAGATATCACAGCTATCTACACATTCTCCCTGGACAAGATGGTGGCTCAGCACGCTTGAATGGATGTGATCGCCAAAGAGTAAAGGAAACAGCAGAAGCAAGAACCTCCTCCCAGTTCCTAAAACTGTACTTTCATTAACTGCCAAGAGCACATTTCTTCCTTCATCAAAATGCTGACAGCCTTGCAGCCAGGAACACGAAGATGCTCCCTACTCCCTCCTCTATCCAACACTTCACTACAAGGCAGAGCAGTTTTCATTGCCACTAACAACGTCATAACAGCAAGTGAAGAGAATTAAGTTTCCTGGAATCACGTTATAGTATGTAAGGGAAAAGAGTTAAAGTGATTTTTTTCCTTCAGAATTCAGAGAGAGAACATTTCTTCACAGATGCACTGCATAAAAGATCTCCCTTAAACTGCACATAATTCTTTCTCCGGCAGAGGTCAGCAAAGCCTCAAATTTAAATAAAACCTTTCCACATCTTTTAACACAAAATTTCTTTTCAAGTATGCTGAATTAAACAGTAGCTCTCTTGTGTTTAAGACTCCCCCCATCCCCTCCAATTTTTTATTTAGGAAATTCGGGATTACATTAAAAAAATACAATGGAACAGATATCTACACACACATACATATATAGGTATAGAATATGAATGGATATATTTTCACAAAAAATTCTAACAATCAAAGGTTTTATGCAATATCTGCTTTTTACTACACAAGATTATTTGATTGATGTGTCATCAAATATCCGGCTTCTCTGTGAATCAGTGCACTTTAGGAAAATGGGAAAATATATTAATGTTACAAGCAGCAAGACGAAACTAAACCATTTGCACAAATTCAGGTGACAACTAAATTGCAGGTTTAGGATCCTTGGGATTTTACTTTTTTCTATTTCTACATTTCATTGCAATGTTTTTGTAACAAGTGGAAATAATTTAAATTCTGTTCTCCAAAAAGCTAAAATAGCAGTATAAAACTAAGCAAATAAGAGGTAGAGTCTGGCATGAAAAAAACCACTATTGTTCATATATGTCTTTTACATACATACATGAACATATAAGAATAGCATGATACAAACCCCTTCTTCGGGTTATTGGCTGATCATGCATTGCAGACTTTGCATACTCTTTCAGCATTTTTGTACAGTCAAACACCATATAAAAATGTCTTGCTACAGAATACCTACACAGCAGAATTAAGACTTTTTGTCTATACACACATAGAGGCACAGGAAAGAGCAATGGCTTTTGCATTTAAAAAGAGCAGTGTAATAGGAAGCAATTCAACTGAGTCCTTTCCTGGCCACCAAATAGCAGGCCAGACACTCAGCCAGAAACTAGTCCTGGTTAAAGATAAGTAACAATGCCTATTTTTTTAATCTGTTTTTATTCACAAAAGCTATTATTCTGTTAAGATTCAGACCTAACCTGAATAACCCATGTGTATTAAATCTGCAACTATACAGAAAATTAACTGTCAGAAGAAATAGTGAGAACTATTTATTAGAACACTACTTTTTGTAGGAAAAGATTTACTCAAAGCGAAAAAGCTGTCACATCAAATAAGGTACTTGACATTGACCTCTTCACAATTTGGAAAGAAGTGCAATTTGCAGGAAATTCGCAAGGATATTAACTTTCATTATCACTAGCATGGAATTAAATGCATCAAGTCCTAAGAACCAACACTTGGCCCTCTAGAATAAGCAATGAGACAACAGTAGGAATCATTACTGCTAAGAATGGATACAGCATTTGCTCCCTTCAAACATTTCCGACTGAAAGACACTTTTTATTAGACATCAGAGCTACTGGTCTGAAACCCAGCTGAAATTTATTATAGTAATAAAGCAGCTGCTAGACTAAAAGTTACAGCAGCAGCTCTTAGCAGCGCTAGCACACTACTTGCACATGATCTGCTTTTGCTGTACTGCAGGATGATTTTCTGTCTGCAGCTCTCTTCCAAGTCACTACAAGTCCCAGGTGCAGACAACACAGCTAACTAGCACAGAGATGTCCAGAGTCAGAGTAAAGTAAATGCAGACTACTGACCACTAGCTGTTTGGAAGAGGGGAAAAAAACCCAAGGTACCAGATGATTCTGCTCCTCCCAGCCCTGCTTATGACGAAAGCGAACTTTGAAGTAGATGCGTGAAATCCTGGCTGGTTTGCTACTCACAAGGAAAGTGTATGACCATGATGTTATCGAGAAAGCAAAGCACTGTTACCATGATAAACACAGGCTCCGTGTTTTCTTTCCTTTGTTCCTTTTTTTTTTCCCCCTATTTTTTTTTCCTCCTTTCTTTTTTAATTAAAAACTCTTCACAAGATATTGTTATCAACAGGTATGCCAGATTTTGGATTGACAACTCATGCACAACAATGCTGATGCAAATCCTATCTTATATATTCTTGCACTACACATTCTTTTCCCATGTCTGTAACAGCACAAAAATATTTCTGCAACTTCTGAGTTCAGTTGTGGAAACTGACAAACAAATTCACCTTTTAAACTTATTCTTGGATCCTCCCTCCTTCATCCTGATATGAATTTTTAGTTGTTACATTTTGTACCAATTTCAACTACACCTGCTTTGAGACAAAGACGGCATCTTTCTAAGTGCTCATGCATTACTTTACTGTATAGTGGCATCTCTGTTCTCATTAGCGCCTTTAGAATTACTACAATAAGCTTGTTGGTAACAGTTCATTTAGTACAATTTAATATGACTACAGTTGAAAAAAAGTGGAAGTATTTACTTTGTTGCATATTAGGAAAAGAAAACTTAAATATTATGTACTATACAATACTGACTGCAACAGAGCAACTTATTAGCACTCAGCAAATCTGACAGCATTGTAAAATGTATCGATGTAATACAAACACTGTGTGAGTTTCTGAGCAATTTCCAACCAGTCGGATGCACCCAAAAAGCCCTGCTCTCTCACCTAGGAGTACTATACACAGCAGTGCGATATTTCACTTGATTCCACCCTAACCTGCAGTGACATAAGGATGAGCGCACTGTAAACTGGGCTGAAGACTGGGATCTTCTGGAGTCCAGTAACAGCTCCAATTTAAAAAATCAGGATGTCACCAGAAACCTTTGGACAGAATTACGCTCCATTTTTTCTTTGAAAATGAGGCATGCATTTAAAGCATCGTATTAAGCTTCATTTTTTCGTGGGGTGGAGAGTTAATAGCATGACATGGACTATGTTTTTCTTAATGTAAAAGCTTATAAATACTTCCTTGGAAGTGCCTACTACACATATCCACACAAAGTGGCTTGGACCTTTATCATAAGAAGCAAGTGGTGTCAACAGAAAGTTAGTGTGCACAGAGCACAATCACAGTCAATGTAATACTAAAGAACCACTGATCAATCCATCAGTACAAACAAAGCCCTTGGCTATAACTATTGCCAAAATCATTTTTCTGAGTAGGGATAAAGAGGTGTTTGTACAGCAGCAGCAGGCCATAAATAGACAGCATGTGTCCTTTGCAAATCCACATTCTGCTCTGCTCACAAGAGCCTGTGGTACATCAGCTGACAGAGCTGAGAGGCCAAAACTGGGCTATTCAGACACACTATTTCCCCTTTCTTCTCTGTGAACCTGACTGCATGTTGCTCTTTGCAGTGCTCTCACACTTGATTCCCTTTAAATTCTTCAAAAAAAGTAAAAACCTGTCTAGCTTTTGAATTCGTTCCATGAGATTCATCAGTTGGGAGTTTGAGCTTGAAGCACGTGGGTCCTTTTTAAAACAGATGCCTTACTTCTGGCAGGTATCCACTGGTAATCATGCCACTGTACCTTTTAATTAAATTCTTAAGTCCTTGGCGTTTTCCCATCACAGAAGGCAGAGGTGGAACTGAACTGGCAGGAGGGCTCCCCTCCCTAAATCCTCTACCAGCCCCAAGAAAACCCAAAGCAGCATTGCATCACCTGAATAGCTGGGCCCATCTATATGCACAGCACTTCTTTTTCTTGGAACATATCCCTTAAAAAATGATTTAAGCTTACCAATTTTACTGCTGTTCCCTGCAGCACTGGTTACAGGAAGCAGCATAAAGGAGACTAGTTGATTCCACTGTAATTGCAGCAGGAGCCAGAGGGTTTCCCAGCAACTGGTCTGTGCAGCATTGGCTACTGGAGCCCTCCCAGAGCTGGCACCAACTGAGATTTACTGCACACATGTCTGCACAGTAACCATGCCAGCCACCGGAATAGCAGCAGGCATCCCTTTGGAGCTCAGAACAAAGGCGCATTTAAATAAAAGTAATGTTGTTAAAGCAAGGCTGTTTCATAGAGATTTTTACCTACAACCAAAAGGTCTGTCTATTCAGAGCGACACCGTACCATATTCTTCTCTGACTTTAAACACACTGAAACCACGGTCTTATCTTTCTGGAAACAGTTCTGTTTTAATAGAGCAGTATCTGTACTACAGCAAATTCAATGTTAGTCATGAGCCACAGGCAACCTTATAAACAACATTTTCCAAAGTCCTTAGCTTTAACAGTTACTCAGTTGTGAGAACACAGACCCACCATATTTTTCCTTACATCTTTACTTCCTGGAAGTAATGGAAGGACAGTGCATAAAAAGTCCAATTCGCTAAGTTTCCAGTGGCCATTAAAAAAAAAAAATAAAATTAAAACTGCTTCCTACAGGATCAAAGTATTTTAAAGTAGAAAGTATATATATGTATGCACACACACGTATGTATAAATATACTTACATACACAGACACACATATATATTTTAATATTATACCTAAATCTTACACAGTTAAATACCAACTCTACTGTCTAACAAAATTAAAGACACAGTGGGAGAAGCTGTCTAGCTCAAGTCAAGTGTGAAAAAAATTTAATACAGGATGGGGCAGGACTACCTCAACTAGTCTACATTCCTGTGCAAAATCATAGTGTTGTGACTCTCCAGGGATGGGGAGGAACACAGTAAATTGTTCTTGCGATTAAAATAAACAGCTTTAATACGGATGCAGGTAGTCAGCAAGAAATGCTAAGGGTTGTCAGTCCATTTGTACAAAGACCTTGAGAAGCACCATCCACAAGCACTCCTGACACAAGTTTCTTTCAAGTGCTCTTAATACTCATAGAAAAAGGAATGAAAGGGAGGCCTGATATGCCCCACACACCTAGACTTCAACACTTCAGTTCTTTGCTCGTCAGTAATTTTTTTCTTTTTTTATTTAATGTATAAATGTGCTCAGAAAGAACAACTGATCACATAAGTGTTTACTCAAGAAAATACAATAAAGTCTAGTCTATCAAGGCAAAATTGCTGAGGGGAATGCAAACCTTCAACTTTTCATCAAAACAATCTTTTTCTAAATCTCCAATTTCTGGTGCTGTTCCTCAGGATTTCTTCTATACAATGTAAAGCTCAAAGTTACACAACAGAGTGATATTCACATGCCTGCACCATGAAGACACTCATTGTTAGTGTCTCCTACATAAAAAAATCACCTTATTTACAACAGCATCATATTAAACTAGTAATCCATTAAAAAGATGATAACCTGGTGATTTTAATGTTGTTTATCCAGTTATCGTCCAGCATGTTTACAGTCTTCATATTCTGATATCCCTTTTTTCAGTTGCTTCCTCCACACACAGGCTTTTCACAACATTGTCTGAGACAATAAAACTTCAACATCTTTCCTCTTAGCATTGAACGTACCAGCCTCTGCCCTCTTCCTTCCCTTCTATCCTATTCCAGTATTTTTTCTAGCATCTTCCTGCTCTGTGCATAGATCTAGTTCAGTTTAATATTCTCAGCCTTCAGTCATAAAAATCCTTCCGATGGTACTTCTCCCATCAAATGCTGGGAGAAATGAGCCTATCCATTACACATCCCCTCATTCCTCTACTCATGTTGCATTAAAATTTAATCCCAGTGTAAAAGCCAAGTCACACAAAGCCTGTGTTACACTATCCTCTGTGCAAGAGGCACATGAAAATCAAGGAACTCAAGCAAAGGCATCAGGAGGCCTGTATGGATGAGCAAGAACCTCCTGACAAAACTCAAATATAAAAAGGAAGCATACAAGAGGCTGAAGGAGGGAAGGATGACCCTGGAGAAATAGAGACACACTGTCTGAGTATGCAGGGAAGGGGCTAGGAAAGTCAAAGCCCATCTGGAGTTGAATCTGGCAATGGATGTTAAGGACAATGAGAAGGGCTTTCCACAGGTACATCAACAGAAAAAAAAAAGACTCAGGAAAACGTGAGCCCATTGCTGAATGGGGCAGGAAACCTGGTGACAAAGTACATGCAGAAGGCTGTGGTACTCACTGCCTTCTTCATCTCAGCCTTTACTGAGAAGACTTACCTTCAGGAATCCCAGGTCCTCCAGACCAGTGGAAAAGCCTAGTGCAAGGAGGATCACATTAGGGAACATTTAAACAAATCAGGCACATACAAATGCATGTGATCTGGAGAGATAAACACGTGAGTGCTGAGGCCACTCTCAATTATCTTTGAAAGGTCCTAGTGATCAGGGGAGGTTTCTGAGGACTAGGAGAAAACAAATGTCACTCTTATCTTCAAGAAGTAGGATCCAGGGAACTACAGGCTGGTCAGCATCACCTCCCATCCCTGGGAAAATAATGGAAGAAAAATTCCTAGAGATCATTTCAAAACATATGATGGACAAAAAGGGATTGAGAGAAGTCAGTATGGATTTCTGAAAGCAAAATCATGCCTGATCAACCTGATAGCCTTCTACAATGAGAAGGCTGGTTTGGTGGATGAGCGGAGAGCAATGGATGTTGTTTACATTGATGTTAGCAAGGTTTCCAATGCTGTATCCTGTAAAACCCTTGTTGATGAACTGATGAAGTATGGACCAGATAAATGGACAGTGGACTCCAAACTGGCTGGAACTGCCAAGCACAGAAGGTTGTCATTAGTGGCATGAAGTACAGCTTCAAGCCAATCCACTGGTAGAGTACTCCAGGGTTTGACACTCATCCAATACTTTTAAATGTCTTCATTAAGGACCTAGATGATGGGTCAGACTGTACCCTCAGCAAGTTTGCAGGCGATACACCACTCCACAGGGACCTTAAGACACTGGAGAAATGAGTTCAACAAAGGGAAACACCACGTCCTGCACGTGGGGAGGAAATAAGCCCAGGCACCAATACATGTGGGAAGCCAACAGGCTGCACAGCAGGTTTGCAGAAAAGGACATGGAGGTCCTTGCGGACAACAAGTTGAATGTAAGTCAGCAACGTGCCTTTGCAACAAAGAATGCCCACAAACTCCTGGGCTGCCTTAGGAACAGCACTGCCAGCAGGCCAAGGCAGGTCATCCCTCCTCTCTACTCAGCACTGGTGAGGCAGCTCTGGGCTTCCCAGTCCAAGAGAGACATGGATATACTGGACCAAGTCCAGCTTGCCATGAATACAATTAAAGGCTTGGAGCATCTGATACACAGGGAGAGGCTGAGAAAGCTGGTACTGTTTAGCTGGAAGAAGAGATGGCTTGGACCTAAAAGTGTAAAAATGCTTGATAGGAGGGCGCAAAGAAGACAAAGCCAGACTCTTCTCGGCTGTATCCAGTGAAAGGACAAGAGCCAATGGGCACAAACTGAAATACAGGAAATTCCATTTAAATATAAGAAAATGAAAAACTTGTTCACTGTGAGGGTGGTTGAACACTGGAACATAGTTGCCTAGAGAGACTGTGGAGTCTCCTTCCTTGGAGATACTCAAAACCCAACAGGACAAGGTTCTGAACAACCTGCTTTACTTGACCCTGCTTTGAGCAGTGGGCTTAGACCAGATGATCTCCAGGGGTCCCTTCCAATGGCCCAGCAACTCTATGATCCTGTGAAAACTCATGTATTCAGGTTGGATTGGACTGAATTACTTTAAATGGATTTCTGTCTAATGGATCAGCAACATGTTCAGTGCTAACAACTAGGTCTTAAAGATTACCAGGGTATCAAGAGCTTGGTTCAGGTAGAATTGCATTAACAGTACAAATGTTTTCCAAAATAACAACTTATAAATCTCAGAAAAAAATGCTGTTACTACTGGGAATTTAATTTTTACTGAAGGTATTTAGTCAGATACCTGAGAACAGGAGAAGTTGTCAACAATTTAAGGGCAAACCAATTTTTCACAAGAAAGATTTCATATTATCCCCAAACTGACAACAAAGTCTTGCTTGCTGAGAAGAGACATTCTAGCTGCCCCAAACCAAAGTCTGATAGGCACAAATGCAAATACTCAATTTGGAGTGCCTTATACCATACTGAAATTTGGCAGGAGTGCAAGTAAGATCTTTGCCTTTTTTCTTCTCTAAGGAAAAAGGTTCTAACTACACTAGAACTAAAAGGGATCCTCTAAAAAGAATCTAGGACCACTTAACATATGAGTGAGATACTGCCCAGGAGCCATAGTTCATCCTGCCAAAAGCCTAGCTGTTTGCTTTTCTGCAGCTTCTCGGGTTTTGTTGTATGGACAGAAACAGTTTTAACTACTCTTTTCCTGTTCTGTGCAAGAGGACAAACTATAACTTTCAAATGCAAGACTAGCAATACCGTCTTGATATACACCCCTGGTACACACCTGCACATAAAGTAGAAAAACTAACAGATTTTCTCAGAAGATCAATCCAAATACACACTAAATATGGATAAACACTGCTATACAGCTGGATTTCAAAATAAGCTTCAAACTCAACAGAAGTATAATAATAAAGGTTAGGCAAACGTTAAACATCACGGAAGTATGTGGGAAAGATTTAGATTGACAAAATCAAGTACTGAACAAAAGAGAAAGCCTTTATCTTAAAAGAATACTAAATCAGGTAAGAGCACTCCAGCTTCTGTCATGAATACTGACACGGAGCTGTATGCTAGTATGCACATTAATTATACTTTCAATGCCTTACCAATCAATAAGATAGATGTCTGGAGTTAAATTATTTTTTTTGAAGTGAGCAAATAGCTTTGGCAGATTCTCTTCAAAGAATACCTCAAATGCGGCAAAGTAAGTCAACATCTGGGAAAATACAATGGGGAGAAAAAAGCAGTTAGCTGTATTAATGGGTTTAAATGTATTATCTGTTGTTGGATTAATGCTCTTCAAAAACAGGATCATATGAGTTACATGATACAATAAAGAGCTAAACATTTATATTAAGGACAGCATCTGCAAGCACATAGAGTTTAAGATCCACCCTATATACTGTTCTCATACTAAACAATAAAATTATTGGTTTGGGTCTTGGCCAGCTGCCTTTGGAAAGAAAAATACCAGCAGGAGATAAGTTATTTGCTGATTTCTCAAAAGAATTATGATAACAGAATGGTGCTTTAAGCTTGTGGCAGTAATTTAATAGTACACTGAATAAAATCCAAGGCCCAATGGATTATAAAATGAAATAAGAAACTAAAATAATTTAATAGTCCATAGCAAGCGTGAAGCATCCAGTTGGCTCCAATCATAAATCATACGCTAATATCAAAGCTTCTTTTATACCATATGTTTTAAAATAGGGTAATAGCCTTTCTATTGCAAAGAGGGAGAGACAAAGTTCACACAGAGAAGCCAAAGATCAAGACAAAACACCTGTGGAAGGGAAACAGATTGTAACTCCCATCTGATACCCTTGACTGTACTGCTTTTAACACAAAGACTTTCATGTTATTTTAAAATTTGAATATTTAGGTCAAATTTCATAACAGGGGGCACAGAAAAAGAAAATCTTCCAATCCAAGTAAGAGTTAAAACCAAAAGGCTTTTTAGCTCCCCTTCTCCCTGTCCTCTTAATATTATAGGGAGAAAAGTTAAGCAGAGTCCTTGAATGACTCAGTAATTTTAATTACAATATCCCAATAAAAACAATAAAGAGTGGCTGTGATTTCCTCTAAGTATGAGTTGTATCAGCATGCTTCTCCCCAAAACACCATGACAGTAAAGGGAAAAGAGGAGCTTTTTGTATGAAATCCTTTTAAAGGATGACAGATTTGTTTCCCAGGTTTTTTAATGTCCTTACAGAAATTTTTCCCATTTCATCTGAATAAAGTGACAAGATGGTGGACTACCTTCATTAGCAGCAGCAAATAAAAAATTGACCCTAGTAGTCAGTAAGAGTATAAGGCTTAAAAGCCAATCAGAGATGGTTATATGCTACAGAAATAGCCATACAAAGTTATGTAAAATCTCTGAACTATCAGTTACTGAGAAACAGCTTCGTGGCAAACATGACATCAGAAATCTAGAAAGCCACTTTAGAGAACTGTACAACTGAAACAGCTTCCCAACACAGGTTTTTAAATGCATGAAATCCAAGCAACACATGAGATCTGTGAGTATAAAGAATGAAGCAGGTAATGCAACAGACAGTCCTACTTCCACAATGATTTGTTTACATGCTAGCACCACAGTAAGAGTTCTACTAAAGTGTTTCAAAAGTACATTAGAGAAGGGATCTTACAAATAACTGCTACAATCACATCTACTGATAGTAATGCAGGCAGCTCTATTAAAAATGCAATAGCAGTTCAGGTATTTATCTTGATCAAATCAACATTCAACAAGACATTTACTTTGTAGTAATTAAAAAAATAGTCTAGTTTAATGAAACTGTAACCAACAAAAAAAATCAAGATTAAATTACTATCACTTTCGCAACTAATTTATGCCATTTTTTTTAATTTATTATATGTTAAGACAAATCAGCATTTGGTTATTAATATTGGCTATTACTGACACAAAAAGATGACAGTAGACTGCAGATCAGTGTATTAACCACAGGAAGCCTAAACTCTCACTTTATGCCTCACTACTTTGTTTGAAATATTAGGTACAAAGTTTTCCTTGTGCTGTGAATCATGGCTTTGTAATTTCACAATAAGTTAATATTCTTTCATGTATCACCATCTCTACTCTTCTGCAAGCATTCCTTTATCATCTAGCATCCATTTAGCAGGGCTAACAGAACTAAATGGCACTATCCAAGGGCATACCAAACACCACTATTTCAGCTAAAAAAAAATAATCTTATTATAGCAAATTTAATTCCAAAATCATCTTCACAAGAACCATATTTACACACTGAATGCATGAGCATGTCCTCTTTTTTGAAGTACAGTAATAGAGATGACTGATACTGCTTCTAGCAATGCTGTCTGCGCTGTGGTACACCTCCCTATGGGCATTTACAACTGATGAGATTCAGGGACTGCAATAGGAAATTACCTACTGCTTTTCCAGCAGGAAATACTGATAGGATCCCTAGTGTCCTACTGTTTAAGCAGCAAAAGTGATTGTTGTTGATGTCATCCATTCCCTTTCTTTATTTCTCCCATTTGAACTCTTGAGAAGCAGATTCTACTTTCATAGTGTGAGAAGGTAAGTAAGTGAGAGGGAAATACAGAATGCCATCTATTTTACAAAAAAGAAAAAAAACCTTTTAAAGTAAATTAAAAACACATTTCAGGAGATGTGTCTTATTTTACTATGGTACACAAGTAGTCCAGTGTACATACTAACATGGAATTTTAGAGACTCTAGAGAGAATTGGGCAACCAGCTCCCACTGAAAATTGGAGGGGTCTGCTCGTGTGATTCCCCCAGGCTCCTTTTCAAACCCAGCTGCTACAGTAAGAGATGGGAAACCTGGTTCTCCCTGTAACATTCTATATCAGTTTGGGATAAAAAGCACCTTCAAGACACTTCTTCCAACATTAAGGTGTTTTCAGCTTTCAACTGGAGCACTCAATTTGAAAAACACCTACGATAACATTCTCTTAACTATTCTCTGAGCATTATAAAATAGCAGCTGAACAATTTCATTCACCTGCCGGTTCAAAAAGGTTAGTGGGGTGGGTTTTGGCTTGGTTTGGTTTTTTGAGGGGGTGTGCGCATGCGCATATGTGTGTGTTGGGGTTTTCTTGTTTATCAAGCATGCTGCTTTAAAATAAATTCTGACTGGCTTTCCAAGCTACTGAGCCCATCAATATTTTTTTTAAACTTTCCACACACATATCTACAACACATAGATTACCGTTTTCTTGCATACTTACAAGGCCATGGTCCACACGGAAAAATGCCATCTGACAGGGTTTATTTAAAAGGTTAGAAAAAGCAATGAAGGCATCTGCAGTATCCAAGTTCAAGATCAATACTGCTGCTATGAATGACATGCCCTGTACCTAAAGAAAGAAGAAATGTCACCATTCAGCAATAACTGTATTCTTCCAAGAATACTGCCTCATTTTGTCTTCGTAATCACTAGTGTTTAATGCACTTGCTGAGCTGCTGAATTTTGTGAAACGTTCAGAAAGGCAGGATTTTTTAACCCACGTGACCCTTTGGTATTGAATGTTCAGAGCATAGAAGCTAATAATCCCCATGTTGCCTCCTTTCAAAGACTAAGTAAAACTCCTAAGACAGGCTAGGATGACAGCACTTTCAAATATGCAGAAGATTTTTTTGAAGAATAAGCTATTTATAAGTAATTCCTCTTCTCCTAGGGATGGGTCACAGATACCCTTATTTGTGGAAAACTGGACTACAGCCTTAGAGACAAAGCCTGCTCTTTCCTTTTTCAGTCAATTACCGGCAGCTACAGACAACTGCAAACTGCAACGACTCATTTGACAAGCAGTAGCATTTTAAGATTAAGCTTATTTCATTTACCATAAGCTCATGATGATGTTGCATCTTTCTACAAAGTATGCTATAGAATCAATGCTGAATCTAGGCAAAGCTCGCTCACTCAGAGGGTGTAGCACTGCCATTGCATAGTCACACGGACCAAGGTGTGACAGTCCTTCTTGCAAACCTGAGGAACAAGCTCCTTCCCAACACAACAACAGGTTCCATGCCAAATAAAGCACACTACCTGATCTGCCCTTCTTCTAGTTTCCCAGCAGTCACACTCAGCAGTTTTTGCCAAGCATCGCATACTACTCAGAGAATAGGAACATTATCTTTCTGCATTTGCCTTCTCTAAAACAACTGCTCCCAAATAAAGAATAAGCTCCTATATATATCTCTGCTCTGGGAAAAAAGACTAAATTAAGTATCTGACATCCAGTCAGTCCTCTCATAATCACTACTTCAAATACTTTAAGAGAGCTCATGTAGCCTCAATGGGCATTGCTTTAAAAACTGTTCCAGAAGCTCACAGTGCTAAGGCACAGAAATGCCTATCAAGAGGAGTAAGAGACTCAACAGGAGAGTCTCAGTAAGACTGCCGTTAAGAACAGTATATGTACTTCAAAGGACCAATTTAACTACATCTTCTATTTTGACTTCCATTTTCAAGCACTACAAATATGTACTTTTGAGGATTCCAATTACTTAACCTGTTAAAAAGCTTAAATGTAGCAACAGAACCATTATATACACTTCTCAAGCATGTACTGGAATAGACGAAAGCCCACAGAAACCCCACAAGTATCCACAAAATCATTTAATACTGGTCTACAAAGGACTGATTAACACAATCCTCCCTCCCTCTACTTCTCCCTCCCCACCCCTGAAAAAAAATTTCTTCACTTACATAGCCCACATCAGGTCTGTAACAAGTATAGGCTCCTAAAATACTGTGCAACGTGTCATGGTAAGGACCACCCTATAATTAAACAAAAACAAGACAATACATCTGAGTATATAACAAACGTTAAAAACCCTTCAGTACTACAGACAGTATCTATTACTTCTGATGAAGGACACATTATTTCCCTATGCAGCTCTGAACAGCCCCAAGACTTTCAATGTAATTTTGCCTTTAAAAGCATGAAACAGCCTTCCATACCCTATTTATTACAAACGCATACAGTTCATCCAATACATCAATTACAAATTAAATCCTCATACAAGAGGAATGTAAGCCTAAGACATTCCTTATAGCTTAGCAGCACTTTGACAGTAGTGCCAAGAAAGCAGGAAATAGTTAAAACAACAACAATATGCCATAACACACAGAGAATATCAAGAATGACACATATAGCTAAAAAGAATTTCATACTGTTGGCTATTAACAGCTGCCATATCTTACACTAAGTACTGTAATTGGCTGACAAGTTCCAAAGGGAAAAGTTTTTCACCCAAAAATGTTGATTTATCACAATCTAAATTTTTTACAGGGCTGCTGCAATTTGTGTATAGAAGGACAAAATAACCAGTTAAAATGAGTTGTTAAAGCACACCAAAAACATACAAGTTAAATTGGTTGCGCATGGAACCAAAAAAAGGCCACCAAATCTTGCTTGCTTGCTTGAGTTGTGCTCTCTCTCACTTACTGTGTATTTGCAACCCAGCAGTGTTGATTCACTGACTTGGAAACACTCACCTGCATCACTTCATCAGACAGAAACCAGCATGAACTAGGCTAGATGAATGATGATTATCAGCCAACAGATTGGGGTTTTGCCTCTTCCAAATGTGTATTACCTTGAGGTTACTCTTTTCTAGATTATTTCTAGTTTTCCAAAATCTTTAGGAACTTTTTCCTCTCAAGATGTCTACTCCTTCAGACTTGAACTCAATGGGCTGTTTCAACCAAGGAACAGGCAAGATTATGTAAACTTAATTTCTCTGAGAAGTCAAGACAAAAGTTAACATTGCTTACTTGCTGGAATATACAGAGATTAGGAAACGTTCTTGAGATATCCAGTTTTATTAACTCCAAGCTTGCTTCTCTGTCAGCTGCAGAAAATCCAGCATCTACAAAAGCCAGAGTTACTGCTTTTATTACATAGATCAGTGTACACTTTTTTTTTCTCTCCCAGTTACTTTTGCACAGTTCATTTATTTTGACGCAAACACTAGGGAATAAGGGCATAGACAGGACAATTCCCTGAATTCAGCACACAGGCTAAGAAGCAAGTATGTCATGACTCAAAGCAACCCTACAGTGCACACTGACCCTCAATATGTTTTGAAGTGATGGGGGGAAAGACGCAGGGCAAGGCAGGCCAGGCACTTTACTGGTATCTGCTGACAAATCATTAGACAGACACAAGCCTGTTAACCTGTGATCCCTCGGCCTCAACAAGGCTTCCCAGTGGCTCCTGAAGCAGCTGCCTCTGTGGAAAGGTTGTGGTGGGAGAGAGAAGTCCTAAAGCAGCAGCATTTGATGGATGCCACCTATCTCTACTACTGCCAGGCCTCCTTCCAGAATCATGTTTATTTACTCTTTGTATGTGTTGTTAAAGATCACAGACGCTGCAATACATTCTCCATAACTGAAACAGATCTCACACAAAACAAATTTCTAAAGTAATAGTTTTCTTTCTGATATCAAAAAGTTTTATTTTTATTTTGTCTGTTCTGGTAAGTAGAGTTGAGAATTACCTATGGCTACTTATTGAACAATCAAAAAACAAGAGTTGTCACTAGCCACTGCTTACACCAGTCACATGAGCATCTATGCTCCAGAAAACAAAGTGCAAGAGCAAGCTGGAAACATACTAGATGTCATCTTATTTAAGATGCAGACGATCTTAAGAGAACAAAGTAGGGGATTTCCAATCAAAAATATTTTTCTGTTGATAAATGCCAGTATGTTTGTTCTCCTTTTTCTGGTCAGCACAATTACTTACCAAAGGCAATTTCAAGCACCTGCACATAGTTTTATACTCTCTCAAAAACAGCCAACTCCTCCAATCAATTAGTAAATCTCTAACCACTTTGCCTGCAAAAATAAATTGGTGCTCTCTGAAACATACCCAAGAGATGGGCTCAAAGCTGCAATAAGGTACTAAAATGCAATCTTCTGCTGTAATTTGAGTTTCAATTCCAAAACTACAGATGCAGCAAAGTATTTTAATGTTGCAATTCAAATTATAATCCCCAAACTTTCCTAGTTTTCCTACAAATTGGCATCAAATAAGAACTGTACCTATAGATAGTTTATAAAGAAAAATGAACAAATGCGTTTTATAAGAGAACAGAGATTCATTGAGAAGAAAGAATACAGCTATTTCTTGCTTCCACAAAAAGTTTTCTTTTTACCAGACACATCTTTATAGATGAATTTTTTGTTTAAAGTTTGTGATTTCATTTTAAGGAACAATTTTACAAAATCTCTTATTCTATAACACAGCATAAATCATTCATGAAAAGCATACCTTCACACTCTACTTCAGCCCCTCCCGTGCTAAGTGATCGCCATTTCTCTTTGGCACGAGCCAAGCAAATATCATATAGTTCTGGAAAATGAAAAACGGGGAAAACAAAGTCCACTATTTGTATATGCTCATGTCCACTGTAAGGTACTAAATACCTACCATACAAGCAATGCTGCCCCAGTCATTACAAGTAACAGTATCTCTAACATAGTAGTTGAACTTCTAAGTAGGTTATGGTTCTGAAAGACTTGTTCCACTGACCTGTAACTTGAGATTAAGTGAAAAGAAAAGGCAATCTAGGAACAAGTTGCATTTTATGTTCAACCATTTACTTTTCTTACAGACCACTGATGTTCAAAATTATAGTCTGATTGGATAATTGGGATAAGTCTAGAAAATTCCATTTAAGAACTACACCCAAGGTAACTAAGCCAAGCACAGAAAAGCAGCACAATACAGCAGGAGTACAGGCAGCCTACCACATCTCCATGTTGGAATTAATTACATATGTTAGTCTTTCAGAGCTGTGTTTTTCTGTACTCCAGAGTAGCACATTATTTCTATTTTCACACACACATATAAACAAAAGTACAAATTTTCCCAAGGGTCTTTTAGTCTCTCACAAAAGTAACATCTTTCTCCAAATCAAAGGAAGCACACTACATGCGTACTCATAGGCATTACGAAATTAACAACAATCCTAAGTTTCAAAAAGAAAAAAAAAATCTTGAGTCATTAATTCTAATCATTTCCATCTAACATCAAAGCAAGACACAGCAACAGCAGTAATCAGAAACAACTCACAGCAGCAATCCCAGAGCAGCTATAAGATTAAAAGAGACTCTATTTTTGAACAAAACATGTCAAAGCACCACAAAAAAGAGTATAACTAGATAACATCTCCTCACACCCACACATCAGGTTCTGATACACCCTAATAAACACAAGGCTATCCCCTTACTATTTCTCTTTGTAAGACAATGTAGACAAAACAACAGTCTCACCATGGGTGATGTTTAACTCGTTGCCAATTGCCAAGCTCCAGACTTTGCCTCTCACACTTGGTGGAATGCCCTGCCACCATAGCTCTCGAACTTTACGGGAACAACACCTGTTTAAAGTAAAACAGATTATTCTAAGAAATATTTCATTGCCAGCTGAATTGCAAATGCATCCTCCTACCACTGCTGAAGGTGTCCAAACCAAAATGAACATGAACAGGCCAGGAAGTCAAACACGGTTTGCACATGCCCATTCTTTAGTACTATTTTGCTTTGAACTGTAAAGGAAAGCTTACCTCCTTCCAAGTTAATGGCTTATTTTGACAGAAGCACTGCAATCACAATATCTGTAATCTGCAACCACAGTTGACCAGCAAGATTCGTAGGGGACCGAAATAAACAAACAAAAAGGAAATCCCTATCTATGCCACTGCCTATGCTAAATGCTGGATATCTCCATGTAAGATATACAGAAACAAGTCATGGAAGTCTACCCTCTCCCCTCTGTCATCATCCTGCTGTGCAAATGAGACATGCAGTTTCCCACCCAGCTTTGCAGCTTTAACCATCCAGAAAAATGCATGAAGATGTAACAAGTAATAACTTTTAGGTGGGAGCATGAAAGACATTTTAACAGAACACAGGCTTTGAAATGGCTAGAGCTAATGTTCATCAATCTGAGAGCCCAGAAGGAGGAACAGAATAGCACCTAAGCACCAATGAAAGTTTGTGGTAGTGACAAAACCCGCAACAATCCATTTATCTAAAAGCAGATTCTGAACTTAAATGTAAAATAGCTAATACATTGGGGAACTTCTGGATTTATAAACCAGTACAGGAGAAGGTGTCCTTATTTTTACAGCAGCCATAACAGACGCATCTTCAAATACTAAAGACAGACATATAAATCTACAATTTGCTTATACTTATTACTTCAGTTCTCCAGAAATGCATTTTCCAACAAATTCTGTCCATGTTTTTAACATATATTCTCAGGACAACTGAGTTCCACGATTAAGCAAATTGCAATTGTGAGTGCTGCGGAGGGTGGTTTATGTTGTTGTTGTGCTATATTCGCGGGTCGGGGCGGGGGGGGGGCTGTTGGTTTTTTTAAGATGACTAGCAAAGTCCATGAAAAACCTGACAGCGAAGGTAGCTTACCAATTGCCTGTGCTGTGTCTTTGTAGGAAATCTTTTAGCACTTAATTTATTTTTTTTTAAATAACTTTTTCCCTACTTCTCTTTTCCATCACTTGATTATCCCAGCAGGTATGCCACTCTGTAATTAAAGAGTTTTCATAATACCATACACGTACTTCAATCTACATCTGATATTATAACATCAACAGCTCAAGTAGCCAAGGAAAGCTCATTTCTGATAAATGCATGGTGGTCAAGCATTATGCTTTCTGCTTTTACATTCTCTACCACAGACCACTTCTCAGTGTTTCACAGTTTCTGACTATCCTGAACCTCCATTGAAGACAAATAATAAGAATTAGAACTGCATCACTTCCAGCCACCCTGTAGAAATAATGAAATGTATGTTGCTTATTTTCTTCGTAGCTGTCCAAAAGTGACTTTCAAACAAAAGCTTCCAAGACCATTTAAAATTATACTTGCTAACTTTGTAATTTATTTTCAGAATACAGACTCAGCAATTTTAATTAAAACTCAGTATAACATACTGTCTTACATAGTTTCCCAGTTGGGCAAGATTTCATTGTTCCAAGTTAAAACAGCATTGCCAATGCTGTCTTCCAGTTTACAGCGTTCTTCCAGTTGTTTCTTTCTCTTCTGGGCTTCCTTAAGCTCTGCAGAAAAGCAATTTCCTTTTTAAGTTAATAAAACCAGAAACCAAATATTCAGAGTTAGCTAGTCATGGCTATTCAGCCATGTAAAAGCACACTATATTCACCTAAATGTACAGTGGACTGTTCAAGACACACAGCAAGCTAAGCACTAGTGCCAATGTGAATAAAGAACAAAGTGGAACTATCCATAAGGCTCATTTTCGATGGATGGAACAAAGGGATTTGAATAATATAGGGCTCCTTTGACCCTTCAAATCTAACCACATTAGTAACTTTGAATTAGCATCTCTGACAGCCAACAGTCCTACCTAGTAGGCCAGGTCAGAGTATTTCCTAATAAAGCCTCACCCCCTTTTTTATGGCAGACTCAAAAATACAGGCTAGAATAGCACAATTTTTAAATTTTGTTTTCACTCTTATGTGTTGTCTTTGTAAATTATGATTTAGATATATTGTCAGGAAATCACAAGAGCCACATTTTTGATGCTTCTTAGCATACGGTTAATCTAAATGTCATACAACACAAATATATATCTGCTGAAAACCTTCAGTTCATTAAAAAGAAAACATTTTTCATGTTTAGTTTAAACACATTTTACATTTTTGCATTATCACTCAGTATTTTTGCTTGCATCATTAACTACTATTTCTTCCGCCAGCAAATTTGTTAGATATGCAATTTAACAAATGCAGGCAGATACTCTTTATAGCAGCACAGTGGAAATACAAGATGTGTGCGTGCACGCACACACTGTTTACAATATGGGAAGGTACTGACCTGGCAAGGAAAACTAACCGAAGAACAGAAGTACCATGAAGAACAACTTTGGAATGAACACACACAACCTGAAGGGTCTGCTTTAAAGCCCAACAGAAGCTGTGCCTGAGCACAGCTATACCGACTGTCTTAGAATATTTTCAGTTTTGATACGAATTCTTTGTAAGCCTGCCTAAATGCAGGGTTTGAATTTTTCTCTAAACAAGAAGAGGGTGTTTACACTCTGATTTCCTGACCTCTACACAATACATCACTCTTCAAAGCTGTTCATCTGGAGTGGCTTTAGGGAAAATGGGTTTGTCAGGGTATTTATCTGGACAGAATGACATACTCTAGTCCAGTGAAGACAGCACAAGGACCTGGCCCGTAGCCCAACCTGAGCATCAACCCATTTCTCCCAAACCATCTACCCTGTGTGCAAAGAAAGAACAGAGTAACTCCTTTGGACTACTACACATTAAGTAGATATACTAACATGGAAGTCACATGAAGTTAGAACTTCACTGGTAGGTATATGATGTTCCAAACCACAAGAGGCTATTTTTATTAACATGTCAACTGCAGAAAGCAAGCAAGTCCTCTGTTCATATCACATTTGCACTGTTTCATACGGCTCAGGGGTCTGCCAGCTGGAAAAAAAATATTTCCAGTAGCTCTCACTGGACACAAAACTTCTATGAGTCCAGATGGTCAAAAAACATCCGCAGAAGGAAACCACTACTGTCAGCTCTACCTGATATGCATGGTACAGCGTTACTGAGACACTTCTGTGAACCATGTCAGACAAGAAATTATGAGCAAAACCTTGGGAAAGCTGTAAATTTTAAGTGGGAGACAGATTATCAAATATACATAACTACACACATTTTCCTATGTGGAAAATTATGTATTTACATACTACAGCCTGAACAAGTTGTTCCCAACCTGAAACTATCAAATATCCTGTAGTTAGCTAAATAAACCTAGTCTTCACTAATTTCACTGATAATCTACTTCAATATATTAGTAAATTTTTAAACCAACAGATGCCACTCAGTTATTTAAGGGTTACAAATTAAAAAATTCTTTCCTGCTGGATTCTAGGATTGTTTTCTTTTTCAGCTTGGGGTGGGGCTTTTTAATGAAACTACCTTCACTCCTCTCTCTTCTCTGGATTGATTCTTCTTTGGGGGGGAGGTACAGATCCCTCACGTTACAGTGCAACAAGACTGACACGAGTGCATTTCAGGTTTAGAAATACCCCTTAACTTTACTTCTCTCCTCTGAAGACAAGTGTCCTGGTTTCAGCTGGGATAGAGTTAATTGTCTTCCTAGTAGCTGGTACAGTGCTATGTTTTGAGTTCAGTATAAGAAGAACGTTGATAACACTGATGTTTTCAGTTGTTGCTCAGTAGTGTTTAGACTAAAGTCAAGGATTTTTCAGCTTCTCATGCCCAGCCAGTGAGAAAGCTGGAGGGGCACTAGACGTTGTCACAGGGCAGAGCCGGGGCAGCTGACCCAAACTGGCCAACAGGGTATTCCATACCATGGGATGCCACATCTAGTGTATAAACTGGGGGGAGTGGGGGCAGGGGAATCCCCGCTCGGGAACTACCTGGGTGTCGATCAGTGGGTGGTGAGCAACTGCACTGCGCATCATTTGTACATTCCAATCCTTTCATTATTACTGTTGTCATTTTATTAGTGTTATCATTCTCATTATTAGTTTCTTCTTTTCTGTTCTACTAAACCATTCTTATCTCAACCCACGAGTTTTACTTCTTTTCCCGATTTTCTCCCCCACCCCACTGGGTGGGGGGGGAGTGAGTGAGCGGCTGCGTGGTGCTTAGTTGCTGCCTGGGGTTAAACCACGACAAGAAGAAATGCCATCACCTCTTTTTTTTGCTTGAACCACCATTTCTTCGTATTGTTGTCTGTGTTTCTGAGCTTCTTCTGCTGGTTTTGCAGGGAGGTTCCTCAAATTAAAAAAAAAATAAAAAAAATCAGTATTTAAAGTTGGCATGCCTGTCTAAAGAAAATTCTAGACACTTCTAAAAGAAAAGCATATACTGCTTCTTGTCAAAATATCTGATCAAAGAGTAGAGCAACAGATCCCTGGAAAGAATTTTTTTTTGCCAGAGTCAGCAGAAGAGAAGGAAAGAACACTGACCAGCTACGACTACTTTTATACACAAAATATGCTGAGTAATTTCCTTATGTTTGGTAATTTCAGCATTTTTATTATTAAACCAACTGAACCCACAGGCTGATCTTCATAAATAAAGGGAATATACTGGTATATACCAAGCTGGTAGTTTTGATTTAAACTGATCTCTACAAATAAGATGCAAGACCGTACTTTCTCTTACTGTGCACCTCGTTTAAGACTTACATCCACAACTTTCTCTACCCATGCAGTAATGACTCCCTACACCAGCTTACTTTTTCCCTCTGCTCTGTGAGGCCCCATTTCTATTTTAAAGGCTTAACTCCTCCCCCTCACTTCTACAGCAACAAGTGGCACTAGAGTCATCCTCTATATATTCTCCAGTTATCAACACCAACACAGCCATTTTGATTTGTGATTAAAGTCTGGACTGGTAACATCTCTGCCATACAAATACACATGCTTATATGTCAGACCACATTAACTTTAAACTAATTATATTTGTAATTAACATAACCACTAGGTATCTCATACAACTACAGGATCACCAAAACATCAGAACAGGAAATGACGATAAGTATTTTGTTCTTCTGTATTGTAGAACACTGTATTGTACTCCTAGGACAGTTTATATCTTTGGTTAATAAAAAAGATATGCAAAAATTCACTTTCACATTCCTGTAAGGTGTCACACATACGGCAGCTGCTAGCCATCAACACAGTCACCATTAATAGTGGTATGCTTTACTATTTACATCATCATATTACCTGTACAGTATGCATAGCCATGTCATACATGCCTATGAATATTTTTTAGAATCAGGATTTTTACAAGAACAAGAAAAGTGGATTTTCACATTAATGTCATTGTTAACCACAGAGGACAACCTACTCTTTTCCAATTTCATTTCTGTAAATTGACCAGCATCTTTATTAAATCCAAGTCTTTATAAGTGGTGTAAGCTGAGTAAAGTTTGGAAAAGAAAACCAGATAAAACAATGAAAGTTCTCCTAGCTTAAATTCCATCACTCAGATTATTTGTCCTGTCTCTTAATGACATCACCATACATGTGAGATGATGTTTAGTATCTATCAAAATTCAACTAACACTCTTTCCAGTTAAAGCTAGAGGGACTATGGAATACTTACTGATTTTTGCTACAAGTTTTATCTAAACCTTACAAGTGAGTGCAAAATCAAGAGCAGCCATTTCGGAAAAAATCTCACTGCACTTTTCTTCCAGAAGTCTTAAATCTTTTTGTCATAGGAAATAAAAAAGAAATTACTTAAAGCCTAATAGGTAAAAAAAAAAAAAATAGCATGCATCTAAGTAAACAATTAAAAAAGATTCTCTAGAAAGATTCATCAGACGACAGCACTGTTGTCCAGAGCAGTTTTCCCTACTAGACAAAAGAAATGATGATTCAGTTGTTTAGAAGCTTAAAAATACCTTTTCTGCTAGAAGTTCCTCAGTCTATCAACAGCAGGAAAGAAAGCAAAATCTGATTGTTATCCTGTAATGTATAACTAATTCAATCTATCTGAACACTGTACTTCTCAGTTTATCTCACATAAGGAATGATTTTCAATAGACAGGTTTTAAATACAACAAATAAGCTAGTACATATTGTTTCCAGCTGTACACAATAAAACCTGCTCTAACAAACAATCACTCTTACATTGTTCTAGATGTCCCAAGCAGTCGTTACATAGTCTACCAGTCAAGCCAAAAAGTGTCTTAAATAACCCTACGACTAGACTACTTTGATATGAGCATTCTTCACACAGATTTGTTGATGAAAACACAGACCTATGTTATGCCAGCTCTTTACATCAATGCACAGCTATATTAAAAATGCAGACACCATGCCTGTAAAGCTGGGTACCATTCATAAATTGACTAAACATGACTGAATTCGTGTAATTCAAGAGCAAACCATGGTAAAGCAGTTGTCAGTAAATTGTTACTGACTTAGCCTGCATATGCAAGAATGTCCTTGCAGTAACAGAAGCATGAAACAACTTATCAAGTACTTGACAACCTTTAAAATGCAATGCTGAACCCACTGCAGAACAATCATATTGTTTCATTATTTACGAAGGTGTGGTCTTTCTCTGTGTAAACACGACACCATATCCTTGCTTCTCAATTTCTTTAACATATACCAGCTTCACTTTTATGCTTATGTTCTGTCTGGGAAAATAAAAATCCCTTATTTGTGTTTAGGAGGTAGAATTACTCAAAACTAGAGCTCTGCTCTTCTAATTACCTCCTTTCACACAAAGCCATTGTTTTTATTATAAAACAGTTACTTTTGTTTGAATAATTTTTCTCATAATCATCCCACTTTCATATTCACTTGCCTGAAAAAAAACCCCACCTACTTTAAATTTTAAATCATCTGTTTACATTAGAATAATCAAATACACACAGTAAGAAAAGCTTTGCTAGCCTAATTTTAAAGAGACCCTCATTGTGGTACTTCCAAAAACTTACGCTGGTCTGTCCTCTAAAATAAGTGCTGTAGTGGAGAGTGGTTCAAAATCAAGATTCTTCCTCACATTCTGTTTAGGAGAGAGTGGTCTGTGAGCTCTTCCAGTTTTTTCTTCATATTCCTAGAGAAGAAAAAGACAGGGCAAGTTACGAGAGTGGAGAACACCAAGGTGATGCACATAAGAATTTAAAGAGGGTCTACAAAAGTCTTCAAGATAATGCTTTCGCATCTCTGCCCAACTGCAGTCCCTTTAAAGCTTTTCCACTGGAGGAAGCTCAGAACTGAAAACTGTTAAAATTTATGTTCAGGAGTGAATTTTGACGTTTTTTTCCATTCCATTTGTAGAAGCATCTTAACTTCCTCTGACTGACAGCCTGCTTTTACAAAGTACTGCTAAGAATCAGCTTACAAGCAGCAGATACTAGCTGAGGTACAAAATAAGCCCTATGTAAAATATTTTTTGTTTGATTTACATGGTTTTGAAACTGAAGCCAAAACCAGCCACAAGCTCCTTGTCTTAAAATCTCATGGTAAGATTTCTCCTACCCAAGCTATTTTCAGATGCAAGAGTTCAATGATGGCAAAAAAAAAAAAAAAAAAGGTTAAAGTCACGGTTAGTCAGAAACCCCACACTTGTTACGGTGCCCTGAAGTACAACAAGCCTAAATCGTAACAGAGCATAATGTATTAACTTGTGTTTGTAATATAGACACTGACACACCAGAGCAAGACTAGCAAAGAGGCACCAAGATGACTCGGGTCTGGAGCAAGTGACACGCAAAGAGAGGCTGAGAGAACTGGGCTTGTTCAGCCTTCACAGGAGAAGGCTTTGTTGGATCTTCAGTAGCTGTGAACAGTAGTAACAGGATGGTGAAGGCTGAATACAAGTCTCTGAGGCGCCTGTATAAAGAACACGAAGACAACAGGCACAAACTGCTACAAGGGGAATTCTGGTCTTAGGAAAAAAAACCAACCATCACTAGGAGGGTAGTGAAACACTGGGACAAGTTTCCCAAGATGTGGTAGAACCTCTGACGTTGAAGGCATTCAAAGCTCAGGTGGATGAGCCCTGGGAACCTGGTCTAAGCAGACTCTGCTCTGAGAGGGGAGTTAGCCCCTCAGAGGTCCTTCCACCCTTAATTACTGTTTCACTATGATCCACATTAGAGGACTTGGCATCACATGTACCGTGCTATTTTTGTATTTCCTACAAACATTGTTTTGGAAGACAACATACCAAAACCACGACCTACTGGGATAAAACAACCTTTACACAACTTCCATCTACTCCAAAGCTTGAAGTACCATAGCAAACATGAAGTATTCAAAGTGTCAGTGATATACAAACAACAAACACGATTAAACAGTCCTACAGAAAAACCAAATCCATATTACAGATATTTTGCATTCAACCTTATTATGAATTTTGCCACTTCCAAAAACCTGCTTTCACGTGTAGCTTGTTTATGCCGTTTCTATTAAAATAAAATAAAAAAAACCCTATACTGTGAAAACTAATCATTGCAAATGAGCACTAAATTCCAGCCATAGACTTTTTCCCGTTAGCACAAACAGCTCCTCAAATGGTACCAATTTCTTTCTCTCAACCTAACCTGTCAATTATGTCAAAACTTCCTTGGGCAATAGAGCCAGCCTTTCCAACACAATCAGAACAGCCTGGATCATTCAGAAACTAAAACAGGATCCCTACCACTTGCAGAAAGGCCTTCTCCTCCAACCCCACCTTAAAAAAAAGGATGGATGAAAAGCACACATGAGTGCAGAGCAACATGGATGTGGTTTTCTACTCTTGTCTCGTACAATTCAATTCTAGTTCAAGCTAGTTCTGTGGGACTCATAGATGCAGGTCTGTGAAGGTCTCGGGAGATAGAAAACCCCTCTTTTTCCTTGCTAACTGGGCACTGTCTCAACAATCAATCCTATGATGCCAGCATTGCTGACAGGAAACATTGTCATGAATTTGGAATGTCTGGCTCATTAATACCAGTTAATACAGCTATGCATGACATCAGTTTGAAAGCAAGGAAAAGAATCAAGAAAAACGTATTTCAACCACTGAATAGTACTTAGCTTTGTTTAGTAAAGGGATAGTGCTCATGCTGACAAAGCTATTCACTAAAAAGAAAAAAACCTCCAGTGAGAAAATAAGCAAAGAAATCTAGTAAAAAAGGTATTGTGATCGACAGCTAAGACATTATTCTTGCATTAATAATTCCTTGCAAGCGCTGATAGTGACCAGTATATGAGTGCATCATCATAATGAGCTTCAGCTGCACCATCAACTGCAGACTATATCCACTGTGCTGACAGGAAAGAAGCAAATGGCTATACTTTCTCCCAGTTTCTATTAGAAGACTGTTTTTTTATTATTAGCTATTTTTCACAAATTAACACCATCAAATATTAACCTCTATTACTGTTTCCACAGACAAGGTGAACCTTGACCCTAAATCTAACATTTTTACTCCTTTGAGACACTACTAGTGAAAGAAAAACCATTTTGCATCCACAAGCAACTGCTAATATGCAGACATCATCATATCGATCTCCCTAAAGCATCACAGAACTTGACATTAAAACACATGCACCCAATGCTTATTACAATAGAAGTTACTGCTTAATTTTGGTTTACGAAAATTATTTTCAGGGTCTTCTTTCACTGAAAGCCAACTGCAGAGCAAAATTGCTTTTGGAAGGCGAGAAAAACTGTATACACTGGGCTGCAATGGGGATTTTATTCTGTACAGTAGAATTAACTTGGAAATCTCATTCAGCTAAGCACAAAGTCTTCCACACCAGCACTAAGCATATCATTCTTCCAAGAATTTCTTGGTTAAGGAACGCTTTATTTTGGAATATGCGTGGCTAGTTACAGTATTGGCACACTAGTACAGTTATTCAAACCTCTTAAAAGAGCAAAAGCCCATCCTGCATTTCAGCAAGCATTCACTGACATGTTCTACTCAGCACTACCCTACAATAAAGAAGCCAGACCAGCACAAAAATGGGAGTGGCACATTTTATCAGATTACAAGTATGAGTCCTTTGTAGTAATTTCATCCTTTTCAGTGGTAGCCAAAAAAGAATAAAATTGTCTGTTGGTGACAGTCGTTATCTACAAGACTGTTTTTTAATCAGGGAAAATTAAAAAATAAACAAAAAAACCAACCCACGAGCCCCAACACAACAAAACCAAAACCCACCCAAAATTCACAGAAGACAAAAGCTTGTGAAAATGATCTTTTATTCCAGTAAGAAGAGAATGCAATTTCAAACAGAGTACAATGTATGATACAGCAATGAAGCAGATTGAAGCCTCCACAAACTCATATTAAGAGCATCTGCTGACTGAGCAAGTAGAAGTATTTGCACGTACAGGCATACTGCAATAGGCTGAACCACACAATAGCTCATTTTAAGCTTTTTATTTTTTAACCAGCCTCAAATCTCTCACAGGTACAAATAATTCAGCATCTGTTTAAATCCTGTACTGTAATTAGGGGTTACTAACCTGATGTAGCTGCAAGTTAATTTTAGGATCAATTTAGGATGAGCTGGTCATTTACAATTTAGAATACATCCTTATCGCTGAGATCACTTAGGCTTTCTTCCAGGTTTCATCTTAACCTATTCAACATTCAGCCACAATAGCTGAACTAGTGTTTGAAGATGTTCTAAGAGAGCGTGCTGTAGATTAAAGCACCGATTTAAAAAAAAAACAAACACCCCAAACAAAAAACCCCAAACCAACCAAACAAAAAATCCCACAGAAGCACACACCCCCGAAACCAAGTTTAATTCCGGGTGGAACCTGGCCGCTTCGCAGTTGAGACGCAAGAAGCTCGAGTTGTGGTGATCCGCTGCAATTCTTCGAGCAGCTAACCTGCAAAGGGATCCTAAACCATCTCTGCAGAGGCACACAAGTGACCCTCCAGAACACAGGGCAAGTGCCAAAAAGATCAACCGCGCTAAGCGGGAGAGGGCTGTGTGGCTTCTCACACGCACCGAGCCTCCCCGGGGACCAGCGAGCAGCACGGCATGGCCGAGCCTGCAGGAACACCAACTGCTCTATCAAGGTCATCTTGTTTTGGTGCTGTTTGTTCGAAGGTAACGACCCTCCGACGAAGTCGAATACGAAATATTCGTGCCAGGTGCCAGAGTGGCAGGCACCAGACCGCTCGGCTCTCGCTCCGCCGCTAGCCGCCTTGCGCGGGACCGGACGAGACGGGAGGCGAAGGGGATGGGATGGG